CTGTGAGTCTAGTTGTCTCTGGGTTGCTGCACAGCTATTTCTGAGTCTTTCTGAACTACAAAAGACAAAAAAGATATGTTGAATTTTATTATAGCATTGCATATTTTTTCTTGTAAACTTGGAGATATATTTTATTGCATGTTGCATATCCCAGTAAATCTGTTTCCCCTTTAAATCAGCAGCTGTCCCTAATTGCGTCTCTGCTCTGCTTAAAACAGATTTATCAGCCTGTCTACCAATATAATGATGCCAGAGAAAATCATTTTAAAAATATCTAGAAGCTCTGCAGTCTGATTCTCTGTTCAATAAGAAAACAATAGATATTTGTTTATTTTAATCTGTAACTCTGAGTAATGGTCCTCTGAGAAGCCCAGCTTTTTTAACTTATATAAATGATAGTGGCTCATGGACCTACAGACGCTTTCAATAGGGTTTATATTTTCCAAAAATGAGCTCAAACATATATTTACTGAATGCTTTCAAATGTAACTACTTTTAGCCTGTCTGACTGTTGTTTAAAACTGCAGTCATGTTATTATTTTATCTGTTTAAATGCCAATAACTCGCTCCTTTTGCATAAAGATTGATGCTGCATCTTCAGGGGAAGCTCAGACTGCAGTAAATCGGTGCTCTGAGTCACATGACCCATTCAGTGACGCTCTGACCTGTTAAAGTTCTTTAAAAGAGCAGCCCACACTGAGCTACAATGTACACCGAGGAAATGCTTTCTTATATATCTCAGATTCAGCTAATAATTGGGTCAAAGTTAACAGAGTTGGGTTAATGTTAGATGTCATTTTCAGAGACACAGTAATCAAGCTGGGCAGCTGCCATAAGTGAACACTGTGGGGCTTTCTGAAGTCTTTTTACTTCAAGCAGACAGACTATATTTGATTTGTTTGTAAATCATAATCTATTTGAGAAATGCCAGCTGAGCAGCTTTATTGTGATGCCAAATAAAAAGAAGCAGAAACAGAAATTTCCTCTACAGCAGAACTTTTTAAAAAAGCTTCTTTATCTAAAAGTTTATGGAGTGAATCTTGTTGCATTATTGTTGCAAACAAAGAACATGTTTTATATAAGAAAAAATAAAACACAATGCAATCCAGAAATTAAACTTCTAATAAGAAACATTTCTGAGATTAACTTTAAGAGTAACGTTGCTGTTCTGTCAAAATTATCTTTTTACATTTTGTTTCTTATTTTTTCAAATTTCATTAAAATGTTTAATAATTATTTCATATTATGATAATATTAGTTTAGATTATTTATTATTTTATTTAATATTTTATTTTTGAATGTTATTTTTTCAAAGTACTGTTTTTCAGATTAAGTTTTTAAAATTAAATTATTTTCAAATTGCGTTTTTTCACAGCACATTCTCCTCACTCCTGAATTTTTACAGATCTTCATCTGAAAAAAAGACATCTGAAAAAATAAAAATTCAAAATATAAGATCTGCAATTTATTTCTAAAATAAAGTTTGAAAAACTAAAAAAAAAAAATAATAATGAGAAAACAGCAGTTACTCCCACAACATTTTTTTTTAAAGCAGAAATATTTCCGATATACATTTCTGATTGCCTTTTTAAAATTTCCATTCACAAAATGTGTTCTTTGCTTAAAAAAAAATAATGGAACGAGATTCAATCTATAAACTTTTTTAAAAAAAATAATGGAACAAAATTCACTCCATAAGATTCTGCAGCTTCAGTTTCTGTTGTCACTGTAGATCTTTTTGTGCTGGTCAAAGTCTTAAACAGAATCTGTGCAGCTCAGTGCAGATTACAAACATACTTCATGCTTTTTAGAATATCCTTCCATCTTAAGCTAGCAAGAAAGCATCTTTAATAACTCATGAATTTGTTGATTTAAAGTCAAGTTGTTTTTTTAATTAATATATTGTTTTACCTTCTCCAGCCACTAGATGGCTCCAACGCGCTGCAAACCTGGGCTGATTTCTATACAATCTTTGAAGTTACCTCAAACTTGTTTTTTATCCTTATGGGGGAAGTTAATCCATAAGAACAATAACTTTTTAAAACTTGCCATGAACCTCAGAGATCCTTAAATCACCTTTTTATCTTCATAAATTAATTTGAGCCTGCCTTGATAAAGAGCTAATTTGATCAGTTAGTTGGAGAAATGCTCACCATTCTCATCTTGGAGAAGTTAACCAGGCCCTCCTCGGTGAAGTTGGGTGTCCCCTCCTCGATGAAGGCCAGGTCAGTGAGGTACATGCCCAGGTACGGGACACACGGAGGGTTGCAGCTGTGTACAAGAAGGACAAAAAAGAAATCAGACGGTATCATGCTGCGGGACAGGTATTGATTGTCTGTTTATCAGTCTCATTTTTTTCTGTAGTTACTTCTTCAGGGTTTCTCTGAGGTTCTTGAACCTCCCCTCTGATGATACGATCTTCTGAAGCCTGTCCATCAGAGCTTTGGTCTAAAAACCAGAAGATAAATCAACAGTTGAAGGTTTTATGTATAAAATGAAGCGAGTGGATTCAGCCGATTGAGTGATGGGATCTAAAACCTGTTTGCAAACTTTAGCCCAGGTCTTCTTCAGCCTGTAGATGGCGCTGCGATTGAGAGCAGAGGTGATCTCGAGCACTCCGTTGTAGTTGTTGAGGCAGCGGCAGATGTCGGCCACTGCCAGCCATTTCTCTATAGAGCCGGCGCGGGAAGCCACGTCAGAGTGAGCCATTATCTGAGACGCCACCAGGTTACTCATCTGAGGAGAGAAGACCAGAAAAATGGCTTTTTTTTTTTTAACTAACCATTTTATTAAGAAAGTTATACGACAGAGTGAGCAGGATTTTGGTGACCGATAGAGGAGGGCTGTGAGTAAAATAAAAGCACTTTCAAGGTTTTACCATCAGCTTCCTTCCTTCCTTCCTTCTCCATCCTTCTCTTCCCTACTGCTGCAGGAGTGATTCTCAGGGATTAAAGCAAAAAAAAATATCCTGAGCTTGAACTTTTTCGACACAAGCCATGCCAGGAGGGTGTGGGGGCATGCGATCAGAGATTGCATGAATGATTAAAGACTAAATTTGACTTTTCAAAATCCAATACCAAAAACTACCAGAAAATGCCAAAAGTGCATAAACTGCATTTCTCTGATATCCAGTTGTGCTGCTAAGCGTTGTCCTTAACAAGTTATAAATTAACTTACACTCTCAAGGTGAACTGTTACAAAGGTAGATGAAATTCAGTCTGGCATTTAGAGAACATTAAAAGTTTAAATAACTACACTGCAAAAAAAATGAAATCTCATTAAGTCCTTTTTTTCTTAAAATAAGTGAATTTTTCTTGAATTTAGGAGGTAAGTGAGACACTTTGCCAACGGATCAAGACAATTTATATTTAATATAAGAAAAAACAATTGTATTGTCTAATTTCAAGTGCACTTTATCTAAATATCTTATTTTAGGAGTAAAAACACTCATTCCATTGGCAAATCAACTCATTTACCTACTGTAATTCAGGATAATTACACTTAATTTAAGAAATTTTTACTTATTTCTAGATCGTTTTTACAGTGTACATAATTCAGCAATTTCAACATTTCAATAACTTTAAACTTTATTCATCAGTAATAAAATGGCAAATTGAATACACAGATGTTAATAAAACCAATACAAGTTAACATCAAAAACATCAACTGGTTGAAGTTAGGTCGACCAGGCGCTTGCTTTTGCACGCTGTGCTGCACAGCAAGCGCCTGGTTGACCTGACTTCCTGCCCTGTCTCCTCCTGCCATGTGTCATTTATTTTTCAGACCTTTATCTATGGTGGTGACATCTTCCCCAGAGTTCATGACCTGCATTGTTCCCACTCCATGCAATTCTGTTCTCTCTATCGTCCTTCTCTCCAAACATAAAGTTTCATTTATTTATTTTTTGACTTTTTACACGTCTCTCCGTTGAATGGACCCATAAACTGTGCAAAGGTGACTTTCTATGTAGAACTTCAGCTCTGTACCACAATCTATGTGGCGACTTGAGCAAGAAAAGAGAGGAGGAACACGCTTTCCTAAGACCCGCCCCCTTCTTCTTCTGATTGGCTAATACTGTTAGTTTCAGAGCGCTCCTTTTGCTACAATTGGCTGACAAACGCAAAGAGGGATGTTGATTGTTTTTTTCAAATTTAGTTATTCAATTGTATTTATTTATTCAATCTATATTTCGAGTGATTTTTTTTTTTTTTATCACGGGCAATCGCTACGAGCCGGAAATACTTGAAACCCTGCATTCTACAGAGGCAATGTTATTTCAATTTTCTGATTGCTTTATGGTAAATCTGAAAATGTTAGCTTTGGATATTAAACTATTAAATATAAGCTTTTATTATTATTATAATTTTTGAAAGAAAGTAGAATAAATCATCTATGAAACAAAAAGGAAGAAACTATCTTTACACATTTGTGTTGGAAAGTAAACTTTTATTTCTTACGTCATTGAAATGCTGGCTGGTTTTCATGATGTACGGCGTTCTCTCCGACTTGTCCACCTTCATCCATCCCTGACCCAGGAACTCCCTGAACAGACACACAAAGTCAGACAGTCGCTCAGATGCTTTACAAATGGGCTCTCATCCCTTCAGGTTTTCACACACTTGAAATCAAATAAAAAAAAACAAAAATAATGCTTTTTAATTTCTGTTCCAACTCTTTTGGTCATTACTTCATATAACTGCCTTCTGATTTTTAGGGTTTTGTCCCCATCAAGTTTGCTCATTCAAAAACTGAAAGGTTTGGCAGGTTTTCTTGGTATTAAAGCTGCAACTTAGTCAGACTGGAAGGAGAACGTCTGTTTACAAAAACTGGATTCTCGCCACAGATTGGCCGTTTGATTTGATGTGAACTCTAACTGAGCCTGACCCTCTCTATCTCTGACTGTAGGTGAAAAAGAAATCCTTAAAGGAATAGTACACCCAAAACATGATTAGCCTTCATTTTCTACTCACCCCCATGCTGAACAACACTCTGGAGTACTTTTTTGATATCTCAAATGCATCTGGAGATCTGGGAGGCTTCTTGCTGTCTGCTGACATTCAAATAATGGAGGTCTATGGCGCCCGAGACAGAAAGGTCCATAAAAGTCCACAAAAAACGTGTCAATATTCCTCCATACTGCTCGTCCAATGTATTCCAAGTGTCCTGAGTGGGTAGCGTCCATAATTTACTCGAAACGAAGTCATTTAGAATGTTTTTAGAGCATAAACAGTAGTGTATAGGATTTCCTGAAAGCACGTTCACGACGCTACGGAAGCCGGCAGACCAAACCAGATGAAAGTGCGCATTCAGCGTCTGCTCTGCCAATAATGCAAGAGTAGAAGAAGAAATGTGCTGTTTACCTGTGCAAAGAAAGAAACAACGAAAGAAAAATGTCTGAGGACTTCAGTGTTGAGGAAGAGCATGAGTTCTTTGCCGAGCTGAATGCGCTGGTTTGGTCTGCCGGCTTCCGTAGCGTCGTGAGCGCGCATGTGCGCGCTTTCAGGAAATCCTATACACTACTGTTTATGCTCTAAAAACATTCTAAATGACTTTGTTTCGAGTAAATTCTGGATGCTACCCACTCAGGACACTTGGAATACATTGGACGAGCAGTATGGAGGAATATTGACACGTTTTTTGTGGACTTTTATGGACCTTTCTGTCTCGGGCGCCATAGACCTCCATTATTTGAATGTCAGCAGACAGCAAGAAGCCTCCCAGATCTCCAGATGCATTTGAGATATCAAAAAAGTACTCCAGAGTGTTGTTCAGCATGGGGGTGAGTAGAAAATGAAGGCTAATCATGTTTTGGGTGTACTATTCCTTTAAAGTAACATTAATAAACCGGTATGCTGTGCAGAGGTCGCCATGGATATGTTTACATCTCCCTTTAATTTTGTAGGTGCATTTGTATCCCTATCAGCCTTGTTGTTTCTAAACAGGTTGTTTAATGATTGATATCAGAGAGGTGGAGAAAAAATAAATGATAGGAAGCAGAGTATGTGTACTCACTCGTAGGGAATACTCCTGAAAACGATGTAATCCAGCAGGGTGATCTGCTCTGCCACCTCCATGGCCGACAGCGACTCAAAGGACTCAGCTTTGGGACTCTCCGCCTGGATCCAACAGACACATTAGCTCAGTGGGTGGAAAACGGGACACAAAGACCACAAAAGTATGGAGGGATTTTTGTTCCCTCATTGTTGCAAGGGCAGAGCACGTTTTTAAAATGGAAATAAATAAAAGTCAAAACAGAAACAAAACATTGAGAGTAACTTATCTCAGATTTCACTTTTTCTGCTATAAAAATATACTTATTTCATTTTAATCAAATGTCTGTTTTTCAGAAAGAGTTTGATGAATTGCTTTCTCTTTAAATTGTGTTTCATAGATCACATTCTCTTCATGTGAATCTCAGTAAAGGCTTCACATTGACCAATAAAAATGTAGTTGGTAACCTTCATGAAGACAAATATGGAGTGAAAGTTGTTCCATTATTGACGGAACACAAGAAGCCCTTTTTTTAAATTGAAAAAACTAAATCCAATCCAGCAATGAGACTATAAACAAATTCTTAATAAAAAAAAAAAAACGTTTTGAGATTAACTGATTTTTATTCGTTCACCTTTTTCCAGATTAAATGTATTTATTTTTTTTTTAGCAGATTTTATATTTTTGCATTCTTTCAGATTAAATTTAGCAAAATACATTCTTTTTTCCCTTCACTTCAAGCCCAATACAAATGCTCGCTTTCGATGCACACATTGAACAATAAAATGGTGTTGTTGACGCCTTTTGTTTGACAAAAATGCAGTTTGTAAAACTCAAAATAAAAGAGAGGAAAAAACAATAATCTATGTGAAATATGTGAGAACGGCAAAGATACTTTAAAATCTTTTTCTGATTACAGAGTTTCATTTCTGGGTTGCATTTAAAATTTTAATTTACAAAACGGGATCTCTGCATACAACAATAAATGCACTAAATTCACCCCATAGGCTAACAGAAAAGTGTCTCCTTTTCTAACCCACATAAATGAAAAAAAAGGTTATCTGGAAAACCCAATTTGAAAAGAATAAAATCAGCAAATCTGAAATCTTTATGTAAAACATGAAAAAACAAAACAAATAAAATTATCTAAAAAAATTACATTTTTTGATAAAGAAGTTCTTAAAAGTTTTATTTCTGGATTGCATTTTTTCAAATTTCTATTTACAAAACCTGCTCTTCGCTGCAGCATCGGAACAAAATTATCTCTATGCTAGCGTCACATGAATCTGCGGAAAGGATAGGATCAGCAACACAGCAAACATGGAAGTGACATTTGACTGAGGAATCTGGACAAGTTTAAAGCAATAAGAGCTGGTATTAGTTCTACATAAATAAACTGAAGTGAATTGGTGGATTTTTAAAGGAGAGGAGATTCCTCATCACAGCAATTTTTAAACTTACCGCAATGAAATGCAGAAGAGGACAGCTTTTCTGTTACAAAATGAAAGGAGAAGTCGGTTTAACCGATTTTATAAATTGAACCCTTTCAGTAAAGTGTTAATACGCTTTAATTCAGACCATTTGCAGGATGTCCTCTATCCTCAGCTGAGTGTCGTCTTGTTCATCCTGAGAAAGGGCGCTGCAAAGCAAACCACAATATTACAGCTGTAAGTGGAAGATATATTAAAAAACGTAACCTTTGGCTGAAAAAAAAAAAAAGAACCAAATAAATCAAATAAAGCTATGATTTTAAATCGGTTATCTTAGGGGAATGTGGCGTTCTGCACCTTAATATGTTGGTTGCTGCTTTTCTCTCTTGGGGCAGAAGATCTGGGTCTCGCAGAACCTCCTCCAGAAGACCGATCACCCCCGTCTTCAGCTCACTGTTCATATCAAAGTCCTGATAGACAAACAGAGGAAACTTCACACCCTAACAATGCATCAGAGACAACTGCTATTTTGTAGACTCAGTTCACCTGTG